TCATTTACCAGCATATGGGCTCCTACAAATCTCATCCCTAAGTCTGGAGTTCTTCACCTGTGAAAAGTACCTTGTTCTTAATTTTTTTTTTTTTTTTTTGCAAAGTTAAAAAAGAAAAAGCACGTGATCCATTTGGCACAGTTCCTGACCCAGAGGCGAGGTGTTCTGGCTATTTTGAAGGGTGTCGCTACCGCTGCCCTTGAGGATATCAATGGAGATGTGCAGGGAAGGGGGGAGGCCTGCCTGAGTCTCAGGAAAGACTTTGCAGAAGACCCAGGAAGTATCTGGACAGGGTGACAGGACAGGAAAAGGCAGTCGAGACCAGGAGAACTCTCTGAAAGGACATAAGGTGTGTATGCTGCTTAGACATAGCAGAAGCCCTGAAGACACAGACTTGTCAACACATTAGAGAGCTTTGCTTGGGCAGGAAGATGAGGAAACAAGTTTCACAGCGTAAGTTATAGTATAGACTTGTCAGGTGTTGAAATAATAGTCTGATTTTTAACTTTTTTAGTTCTAAAATTCTAATCACCTTCATTATATAGAGAACAAGTCTGAAGCGTAGCTTGGGGAGTGACCTTCTCAGGGTCACACGGCATGTCAGAGATGGAGGTAGGACACAGACCGTGCCTGCAGCAGGAGGGGGCGCTTGCAGGACAGCACGGCGGCAGGCTGGCCGGCCCTCTGTTCCGGGCACGAAGGGGACTTCCGCACCCGCCCCGCAGCCCTGCTTGGTTTCCAGTTCTGTGGAAACTCAAACCACCTGCCCAGAATATTTGCTATCTAGTAATTACACAAGGAGGATCTTCTTCGTGGTATTTTTAAAAATTACCTTAAAAAACTTCCACCCAAATCAAACATCAACTGCTATGAAAGATCACGTCTCAGCAGAAACATCTGTAATGCACGTTATAGCCAGTTCTCTTGACACGCAGGAGCCGTACTGATGATTAAGGAGGGAGGATTTCAGTACCTACCATGGGCTCCGTTATGGGACCACAGTCCAGCCAGGCACTGGACCGAACACCTTCAGGCCTGAGCTTTTCAGTCGTCATAGCCCCTGGCAAGAGGGCTCTTTATTCCCACTTCACTGGTCCGAGTTTAAAGAGGTCAGGGGATGGCTAGGATTTACCAAGCATGCGGGCTTCAAGCTTTTATTGACCCCCGTTCCTCTGCTCCAAGCCTGGCCTTTTCAAGGTGGCTTCCTTTCTCTCCATCATCACAGATTTGGGAGGATGGGGATTCCTTTATTCCAAACAGCAGCTGTTACTGAGTGAGAAAGCCTGAGAAGAACAGCCCTGTGTCCTAATTACCTATGGCAGGGAAAACATCTGTGTGGGGAAAGTAATGCAATTAATTCTCAAGTCTAGCAGTTGCATACATTAATTCACGTTAATTAATGCCAAATTACAAGATACTTCCTATGGCATCACATCATACACTCCCCGGAATTGAATATGGAAAGAGTTCATCATACTTAATGCTATTACAGCCGGCCCCAGAGGGAGTCAGCGTGATTGGTCCCTGGCTATGAAGCACAGCCAGTTTCTTCTGTTGCCATTAGGAGGAAAAAGGGAAAAAGCCAGGCACACTTCACCAAGGGCAGGCAGTGCAAGACTGAGTCTTTCCCTCCAGCTTGAAAGTTCACTTGGAACCACTCTGAGCAAGAAATGTTTTGCAGACCTCTCCCTGGGCCTTTTTTTACATCACCTGGTTGTACATTTTGTACAGTCAGCCCAAGGACAGACTCATTGTACAGCCCCTCCTCAGTATGGGGAGTGGAGGGAAAGAGAGGAACCCGAAATGGTTCTCTAATCTTGTGAGATGGGTCTCACAAGCCCAGCAGGACCTGCCACCTGACCCAGTTGAGGGGCGCCAACCAGAGATTTGCCTGCAACCAGAGATTTGTCCACCCCTTTCACATCGCTCCCTCTGTACTATTGTTGACATCTCAGATATAATACATCTTTTATTCATTTTTCCCCTGTGCAAATATACATATACAGATAGCTATATATACATCTGGCACAAAATTGGGCCCATATGCACATATTTTGGTAACCTACTTTTATGAAACTGATTTTGGAATAAATTTAGATAAACTGAAAAGTTACCAACACAGAACAACTTTACCCAGCTTCTCTAATGCTAATGTCTTATACAACCATGGTCTATTTTTCAAAACGAAGAAATGAACATTGATGAAACATTATTAATTGGTAACCTCTTTTTGTGATATAAAGTATATTAAGCATTTCTGTAAATCCTTACATACTCTTTAGAAACAACATATTAATAGCAGCTCCTTAAGAGCTCCCTCACTTTTTAGGTACTAGACCTGGGTTTAAATGTCCTTTCCTAATCCAGCCAGTGGCAAGGAAGCAGGAAGACCTTGAATGGAAATAGACCCAGGAGGACTGATCCTTGCACACAGGAGCTTCTGTCACTTGGAGAAAAGATGAGTCAATGGATTTGGAAAGGCAGGGAGGGATGGGTGTTGGACAGGTCACCAACACTACCTGATACAGATATGCAGCTGGAAGACTCAAATCCAGTTCAGTCAGCCTTCTTAGGGACCTACTATGTGCACTACACTGAGCTAATCATTGTGAAAGAGAGCAAGAGAGAAAAGAGGAGTTTTATCAATGTCGATAATAACTGACATTTGTAAACATTTGAGTTTCAAAACATTTAGCATATATATCATTTGTTTCAGCTAATTCTAACAGCCAAAGTACAAGACAGTGGACACGGGCATCCCCGTTATGAATGAAGGTGGCAAGCCTCAGGAAGACTAAGTGACTTCCTTTGAACTATTCAGCTAGTAAGTGACCACACAGGAACTCAAGCCTAGGTCTCAAAGTTACCAATTTTTGTTGTTTCTCTGACTCCAAGCTACCTTTACAAAAACAGAAGTCCACTGAAAGTTGTAAAAGCGTCCGGCAGAGTGTGAAATTGTGAGTTAGAGTTTTTGTGTGCTGTGGGGAGGATCATTCTAGAAAGAGCTTAGGTCCAGAAATTGTCTTCAAGGACAAAGGTCTTGAGTTATGCCCTAAGTGGAACTGTTAGAATGTCTGAAAAAGAAGACAAAGAAGAGTGAGTAGAGAGACTCTTCTTTAGTTTATCATTGGCAGTGATTTCCTCAGGCCTAGATGTGTTAAAGGACTTGAGAGCGATCCCCATTTGTCATTTCTACATACGGCAGCCAGATGGAGAAGGTTGTGGGTAAAGCTTCCCTCCATCAGTCTCCTAAGAGCTTATCAGCAAGAACATCAGTGATTGTTCGGATGGAGTGGAAGTGCCGGCCGCCCCTAGTGACTCTCCTGGTAGAATACAGGGATACCCAGGTTCCTTATGCAAAAGCAGCCCTGGAAATTTCCTTTAGGAAACTAGTGAATCCTTATATTCAACTCTATATGGTGTTACCTACCTTTATTTCATATAAATAATTATCTATTGATTTTTTTCATTTGAAAGAAAATATTTCTGCGTACATCTCTGATGTCCTCAAATCAAACTCACCCGTCCGCCCTGACTGGTGACGCTCCATTGGTTGGGTGTCATCCGCAGAGCTAAAAGTTGCCCGGTCAGGGCACACGCCTGCGCTGTGGGTTCAGTCCCCAAGAGGCAGTGGATCAATGTTTCTCTCTCACATTCTCACATCAATGTTTCATGTCCTCTTTTTTCCCTCCCTCCCTCTCTCTCTTTCTAAAAATAAATAAATAAATAAACTCACCATTAAGCATCAAAAAAGTAAAATAACTTCCTTTTTCATTCTAAAAGATACATTATAATAAAGAGGCATATATTAATGACTGTGTATTCATTGTCTACTATGTATCAGGAAGGGTGTTAGAACCTAGAAGTATAGCAGTGAAAACAGCAAAAAAGAGGCAGATCTCTGTCTTCATGTAGATGATATTCTAATGTGGGGAATGAGAAATAAATAATTCACAGGGTAGTTTTAGATGAATTACCTTCAAGGGTAAGTAATAAATTTCATGAAGGGAATTCACAGAATGGTGTAAGATAGTAAGTAATAATGGAAGATCCTCAGAAATAACAGTGAGCTGAAGTCTAGAACCATCTTTTGGAATAACCTGAAGAGGAGCATTTTAGGTAGAGAAAATACAAATGAAAAGTCTGTATAATAGTAGAAAATTTGGCAACTTTCTGAACATAAGGTAGGACAGACTAGAAGAATTATAGGGAGAGAAGAGATTAGCATAAGGGGAGGCTGGGTTGATGGGCAGTGGTGGGTTTAAGTTTATTGTAAAGCCACAGAGGCAGAATGAGTTTTGAATAAGGAAGTGACATCCGAATAGCAGAGAGACCAGAATAATTGTGGTTGTAAAACAGGGACAGCCTCCCTGATACAATTTACATCCAACAGAGATCAAATTTATTTAAGAATTTCTGTGATATGTTTATCATCTGCTGTAGAATCTCAGGTGAGAATGTAGGTCTTAATTTACTCATCTGTAAAACAACAAAGTTTTTGACTCGAGAATCCCTTCTCGATCCTGTTTCACTTCCAATTAGTGGTAAAAGAAAAACCTTTACCTTGACATAAAACCTTATTATTTATAACAGCAGCACCTATAGCATCTGATGATTGATGATTGCATATACTATATGTGTGTGTTTCCCTCTTTGTTAATCCAAGGTCAAAGTGCGGAGTTGAAGCCGATTGAGAAAAAATACTATGAATTTTTGCCAATTTCTTAAAATTCTTTCATTTGGTTTAGAAGGGGAAAATTTAACGATAATTTAGCGTGTGAGGATGGCAGGAGTTGGTAGAAGCACTGGCAGACTCCAGTGATGGTGTCAATAGCAAGTGAGTAGATTCATGATAACAGTTATAAAACTAATGATACTAATGTGGTTAACAAAGAATGTGAGGTTTGTTTAAAGACTTGGAGTAGCAAGGGAAACAGAAGATGTCCACGGCGATGCTAATCCTCTGTGTGTATGCGACCCCACCCCCATTTACTTTCCAGATTCACAGTACCTGACTTGCCGAATGCAGAACTGCACAGAAGCCAACAGAAATAAACCTTTCCCAGGCTACATTGACCCAGACTCCTTAATTGTCCAGGATGATTATGTGTTTGTTCAGGTATGAAAATTCCACTTTTACTGATCGTCTCAAAGACATTTTCCTATTTCTGTCCCTCATGCAGTCCCTTTCCCCTGCTTCCTCTCTCTTAAGAGAAAAAAAAAAAGCATCCTCTTTTCAACAAAATGAGCTGTTCCCAAGTATCAAAGCTCCTGTACTCACAGAATGTTAATTAATGCCTTTGGGCCGTAGGGGGTCTGGAGGGCACTGCTCAGAGCACCGAGGTTGTCTCCTGAACAGCGCACAGTTCCATTCATCCCCCTCATCTGCAATCCCAAGGACCCCATCAGTCAGCGGAGGGACTGAGCAGAAATGCCAGTCTCTTCCTATCAGGAGACCGGCCAGCCAATCAGCCTCCTCCCCAACAAACACCTTAAAGAGAGAGAAACAGGTGGGAACAGGAAGCTGTGGGGGGGGTGGCTGGAGGTGGTAGGAAGCAGAGAAAAGGTGGTGAGTAATCAGCCATTATTGTCATGCCCTGACTGTGATCAAGATAAAGGGAATTTAGATGAGATGTATTCAGACAGGTTTTTCATCTCCTAAGAGAGTGGGAAACAGTTTGAGAAGCTAAGGTTTCATGGGTATGCTTGTATGCTTTACTTCTTCTCAGCACTTAAGGATTTAAGGGATCGATCTCTCTCTCTCTCTTTCTCTCTCTCTCCACACTCACACACACACACACACACAGATTGAAACACACTATTATATTTATTTAGAAAGAAACCATAAATTAAAATATTTAATCCCGTGGTTTGAGGAAGCACATATTCAAAATGCCCAACGTCAACCTTTGCACTTTATAAATGTTTCACAAACGATTACACACATGCACACACACGTTTCCTTTTTCTTCAAGGAAATGAGTAATGAGTACTCTGATAGCTTCAGTATCAACTATCAAGTGACATTGAAATGGTTACACACATTGGTGCTCTCTCTAATTCATTTCTCTATCAGTTTTGCTTCTGGGAACCTTTTCTGTTTTTTAATAACCATTTATAGCCCATATATATGATTAAATATGAGAATAAACTCTGCATTTAGAGTTTTAGATATTTTCTATCCATGCCACTCTGAACATGACCCTGTAACTCGTACTAGGACGAGGTGACCTGGCCACATGTTGGTGAATACGATCATTTTCTAATCCTGTTTTTATGTGTCTGATGAACAGTCACCCAAAGTATATGCTGACCTTCCAAGTATGCAAACTGCAGTTGATATTCAAACTCCAGGAACTCATTTGGGTTAAGACTGGCTACAGAAACTCATAAAATAGAGAGTAGAATAGTGGTTTCCAGGTGATAGGAGGTAGGAAAATAGAGAGATGTTGGTCAAGGATATAAACTTCCAACTGTAAAATGAGTAAATTCTGGGGATCTAATATATAGCATGGAGACTACACATAACAAGACCATATTACATACTTGAAATTTGCTAAGAAAGTAGATCTTAAATGGTATCACCGCACACACACAATAATCTTAATTAAGTGAAGGGATGGAGGTGTTAATTAACTTTATGTGTGGCAATCATTTTATACTATATATATGTATCAAATCATCACATTTTACATCTCAAATTTATATACGTATATGTCAGTGATTTTCAACCTTTACATCTTATGGCACACATAGACTAATTACTAAAATTCTGTGGCACACCAAAAAATATACTTTTTTGATGATCTTACAAAAAATAGGTATACTTTTGATTCATTTCACACTGGATGGCTATTGTTGTGTTGGCCACCGGCATTTTTTTATTTGACAATCTAAGGGCAAAGCGGTCAGTGCCCCTGACTACATCGTCAGGTAGAGCATGTTTTAAAAATCCTTGCGGTACATCAGTTGACAATAGCTGGTCTGTGTCAGGAATGTCTCAGTAAAGCTGGGGAAGAAGAGCGGCTCCAAAGAGAGAGATGGGCAGTCCCCTGGAAGGTGAGGTAGACCCCACACCCCGTCTCACCCCCTTCATTCCCTCAGGGTTCACTGGACGGTATGTGCAGGACAGACTTGGTGGAGGTAGCGCACAAATCTTTTCTGGGAGACAGAGATGCAGAATGACTTTGGACCCTGCTTGACTTTCCGCCTAACACATCAGCAGCACTGCTGTGTGTTGGTCGTGCGGGCAGCCATCAATGTCACAGCAGCACAGGGGACTCCAGCGCCCAGAGATGTGAGACTCCACCCGGCCCCTGTGTGAGGGGACCTCTTCCTTCCGACGTGGCCTGGGGGCCTGTTCGTGTGGCCATAGCCTTGGGGCTAGGCAGCTGGGCTGCTTGATGGACGTGGATCCCGTTTACCTTGAGGCTTTTATCTTTAAAAGTTAATAATAACGGAAAATGTTTCCTGGCTTCTGAGCCACAGTGCAAATGGAAGAAATGGATTTTTGTCCAGTGGGTTCAGTCTGGGCTTCTGACCAACTCAGGTGCACTGTTTAAGTTGTTTTTGGGCTGAATAAATGCCAAGTCCGTTCACTTGTCCACAGTAGCCATTCACGCAGAGGTGCTGGCAGCTACCTCCTTTCATTCCGTGGCTGTTGAACCCCTGGGACCTGCAACTGTTACAGTAGCTCTTCTCACAACCTGTGTGTTTCTGACCCAGCTGACGTCAGGAGGCCGGCCGCACTACTATGTGTCCTACCGGAGGAATGCGTTTGCCCAGATGAAGCTGCCCAAGTATGCTTTGCCCAAGGTATGACCAGAATCGTTTCTTCATTTTAGTATTTCCTCTGATTCACATATTCCTGTCTCTGCCCTCTTTCCCAAGCACCCTTTCAGTCTCTCCTTGTCATGGATTTGTTTTCATACACCATCTCTGTTTCTCAGGTTCACTTTGCCTCACGTTTTTTTTTTTTTGTCAGTCTTATCACCCTCCTTCCCCTATCACCCCTCTCCCTCTCTCTCTTTCTCTCTCTCTTGACTTCTTGCTATAGGAATATTTGTATAAATTGATAACTAGTTTGCTTTTGCTTTTCAATAGTAAAGATTTTCAAGCAGTATGTATTGGTTCTCTTGCAAGACAGAAAATACACTCTGGGTCCAGTGTCTGAGTGCAATGGGTATGATGTGTTTGTTTCCCTCCTAATTTTTTGGTTTTTGTTGTTGTTATTAATTATTGGAAGGTGATACAACTGTATGGTATCCAACCTTTGCTTTCTGTTACAATGGAACTTATGAGACAGGTTGTCTTTAGAGTTCTGAGACACAGTGAATTTTTTAGACTGCCCCAAAGACATACCCTTTTGAAAATAGTGGCGGGCAAAAGTTAGAGACTCTGAACTGCGCAGTCCCGGCTCTGCAGGTAGCACGGAACTGCGTTAATATGGAGCGCCACCTAGTGGAGGTCAAACTGACGGGCGCTGCAAGCTGTGGACCTGCGGTCTTGAGCCATTGTGTGTATTTCAAGCGGCCATAAATTGCTAATGTATCATACCTTGATCTTAGAGCAACAGAGATTTGTGTGGCTATAAGAAGGAGACTCTGTAGGTTTAAATCTAGTTATAGCTCAGCTTTGAAACCTTTGAATGAAACAAAGTACTTAAAGAACTTTTTTTTAGTGAATCCTGTATTTTTAACCCATAACTTTGTAGTATTCTATCTAGCACCAACACCCGCTAGCTGCCCAGGAAATCAGGTGACAGATAAAATGTAAGGACACTGCAGGTGTCCTCTTCTCGGAGAGCAAATGGTAGCTAGTTGCTTTGGCCACTCCAGGAATTCTCCTTAACCGTAACATAGTAAAAGGTGAGCTGTAAACCTCAGCACATTAGAGATAATAACACATTAAATTGCACTATTAACTCCAGAGAAGTATATTTATGTTAGTAGTTATTATTTCAGCTGCTAAGAGAATCATGGCAGTCATAATTGCCCAGAACTATATGCTTCTACCTGTGTACATTTAAACCCTTCTTGCTCTTGATTTGGCTTAAAATGCTTACCAGACAAGGACTTACAACTTTGGGGATGTGCCTTAGAGAAGAATGGGGTAAAGTCAGTATGTAAAGGAAAACTGAGTGTTGTTAAAATTACCCTTTATAACCTCTTAGGAAGGTCCAGAAGAGACATGAACACCTTACCTCAGTAAGTCTGATAGACCTGGTTTTCCTTTCTCTTGAGCACTGAAATAAATTGCTATTTCTTTGATTGACCAACAAATAAAGCAGTTGGCTTCCAAGATTTAGCACCTTTAAAGTCAAAAATTGTACTCAGTGCAGTGAAATGCTCTTGTTCAAGAAGGAGGTAGGAACTCAGACCAACTTAGTAAATAGCAGATTCAAGTCGCTCATCTCATGCTCACTCTTGGGTATATACTTTTTTAGTGGGGTAAGTCTCAGCCCACTGAAATGCTATTTGCAACAGTATTGAGGCTAGAGCTTAATTAAGTCTCCTGATTCCCAAACTAACGTTCTTTAGGTTATGCTTTTCCTCCCTTGGGATAAAGCCATCAGTTCTATTATTAGAAGAGAGCCGTATCCCCCAGAATTTTGATAGGCTGAGGGGCACCCAGAAAAATGTTTCCATTGACCTAAGGAACTCGCGAAAATGGTAGTTGAAAAATCAAGGAAACATCCTTACACCTGTTGCTAAAGTGCTAGGAAACACTCACTTCCCATTTCTTGTTCAGAACCATCAGCAGATCACAGTTGACAGCTGTGCCTAGTGGCGTGGCGCCAATCGAGAAGAACAAGTTAGACTCTAAACCCGAATCGGCTGTCTGTCTCCTCCCCCGCTCTCCCAGATGAGTGTGTTCCATTACTCAGCCTCATCTGAGGCCTGAAAGTAGACGGCCATGATTAATTTAGCCTGTCCTTAGAAAAATAGGAGCCTGTAGAGCTAATGAATGTGTTATTTGGTCCAAGGGGGAGTGTACTATTTAAGGCAATGAGATGCCTCATTACAGTCCCATTACACCTTCAAAGAGAAACCCTGCTTGGTGGAGTGATCCGCAGTGAAGGTACATGTATTTCACAGCCCTCTATCAAAGCCAGAGCTGCTGTGGCTGGAAGTGAACAAAGCTTCCTGCTGCTAAAGGAATCGAGATAAACCAACACTCTCTTGCTCAAATTTTCTTTCATCATCCACTGCCATTGTATCAGCTCTTGAAAGACCATGGTTACATGGCCTTTCAAATCTTTTACATATATATATGTAAAGCTGACCAGAGATGGGGATGGGGAAAGTTCAGTATCGCTGTTACCATGAAGAGCATGAGGCCTGCCCGACAGGGAGACATAGTGACAGTTTCCTTCCCTTAACCTACTTGGAGCTCATTCTGAGCTACTCAAGTGAGATAAATGAGGCAATACATATGAAAGTGCTTTGAGCGTTTTGGAGGACAGCTACTCTATAAAAGCAAGGTAATATTATTATTAGTATGGATCCAGTTGTCTGTGTGGTAGAAGATCGATGCGACCCGGGGTGTGGGTTGTGCAAAGGCTGCTTGATTCACAGCGGGAGACCCGAATTCTGGACCTAAATCTGCCACTAACCTGCTTTGAAACCTTGGGCTGGTTTATCAATTTCTCTTTCCCTGTTCTGTTTGTTTGTTTTCTTTCTTATAGTTTTAAAATAAGGAGCTTAGACTCACTATAATATTTTCTCACATGTGATACTCAGAGTAAAATGTCCTTAGAGATGCTTCGTGAAAATTTGGTTTTATGATCAAATAAGCTTTTAAAAAAGAAACTTATGTTCCTTGACTAGAGAGTAACACTAGCTGGCTGGTATGTTGAAGACTCTAGGATGTCTTGTGAACAAGACAGTTATATAATTCAGCTTTAATCAAACCATTTTACCAAAGGAGGCATTTTTCTCTTTTTTTTTTCATATCTATTAAAATCTAACAATGCTGATGTCCTATAGAACAGACTTTGAGAAAGACTGTAGTAGAAGATCTCAAAGATCACTTCTTGGTCTAAAATCCTGTAGCTCAGGAGAAGCATTCACCATAAAATGCTACTTAGGAGAAAAAGTATGTTTTCCTGATAGAGGAGGATGTAGGCAACAAGAAAAAATAATGATGTCATTTAAATATGTCAGTGTTCCATTAAAATATGTAAGACCAATATCATTTTTTTAATTGGTTCTAGCTATATAATTATATGGCTAGCAAGACACCGCACCTTTGTCCTTGTCTAGAGGTGGCCATTTTAATCTGCTATTGTTATGTGACTAGTTTCCTATGTGTCATAAACACTTGACGTGTCTACATTTTCAGTTCCACATCCAAAAACTAAAAGTTTGAGGGAGTGGCATAACATCCGTGTTGTACTCTAGCCCCAAGAAGTATTTAAAGAGATATCCATTTCAACCCAGACTTCAGGGGTTCACCAATGCACAAATTTACCCCTAAGGTGCAGGGATTGGTTTTGTAGGGGCCGGGTTATTGCCGAAATACTTTGATTTGAATTGAGGGATGCCCCTGTATCCTGCTGACAAGGAAGGGAACATGAATTGGAAGTAGTTATTTAAGGGTTCTAAATGCCAGATGAAGGATTTTGGTCTTTGTCCTACAGGAAATGGGGAGCCATAGCAGGTTTGCCCTCCATGGTTGAATAGTCCTTGCACAATTTCCACAGCTAATTTCTTCCATTGTAAAGAGAGAAAAAAAAACAAACAAACAAACCTTTGGGTGAACCAATTTTTGTTGAATATATTAGTTAGCACCTAACATTTGCAGTCAACAGAAAGGCCACATCAACCTTGTTTCGGCAGCAAAGGCGGTGTAACGGCGGCTTGCTTACCTGAACTCCCCTGGCAGGTGGAGCAGGTGCTCAGCTCCAGGCCCTGTCAAAAGTTTCTCCCACTCCCTGGCTGATTTAATCCTCCCAACCCCGTGGAGGGCATGCGGTTATCTCTATTATGCAGGTAGGAATCCTGTGAGGCACAGAATTTCATTCACACAGCTAAGTTACAGAGTCTGGACTTGTACTCACGTAGTTTTGTTTTAAAGTCCATTTTTTTAAAACTATTTTGCTCTGATCTCCTCTGGAACCCAAAAGTATACAGGTGGGGCAGGCTTTTAAGTTGTTCTCATTCAACACCACAGAATTTGGCCTTTCTTCACCTTTGGAGCCTGTTTTCTTCAGGATTGTGTTTATCTTCTCCCTCCAGGATATGTTTCCATCAAATGTAGACTTTTAAAACTTTCTACTGTTTACAAACCAATAGTAAGAGATGCTTTTCACCTCTCTAATAACTCCAGCTTCATTGCAGAATCATAGTTAGTGACTTTCCTTGGGTCATATCTCCATCACAGGTCTAACTGATATCATCAGGGAATTTGGATATTCTGAATGTCAGGCCTACAAGTCTGCTTCTGGTGTTGAGGTAACAGAGACTGGGTATTAGGAAGAAATTTGTATGAGAGGGATAAGGATGTTTTTCAATGAAGAGCAAGATGAAAGTATCATCTTGCTCTTCAAGAAATGTAAATAGACTTTGGGCTGATACAAACAATGGCCAGCTTTCACTCCAAAACTCAGTTTGCAGTATTGACCACGTTGAATTAATGGGCAGGATTCCTTTTTGGCCTACTCACTCTGGATTCTCTCTGTGAAAGTGTGACCCAATTCTAGGGCTGAGGAATGCCAAAACCTTTAGATGAAGACTTCTTCCTTCTGGGATCATTTGAGTTCCCTTTGATCAAGGCTGAAGAAAAGGGAGAGACTTGCTCTTTTCTGTCTAAAGCACAGTCGGAGCTGAATTGCTTATTGATTGACTGATTGATTGAACATGGACATATATTACAAGGAGAAAACCAGGTTAGGAGGTCGACAGAATTTTTCAGGACTGGAATTTCAGTCAAGGAAGATTGACTGAACTCTCGAAGCTTTTCACAGATAGAGGATGGTTTGTCTGGGAAAATTTGAGTGCAAAGCTACACAAAGGCCAAGAAGTTTTCCACATTCTTCTTCTTTCTTTATGCTTATGTATAATTTCGTTGTTTGGTTTTGATTTCTGTTTTCTGAAAGTTATACCAGTGTCTGCTACCTCAGGCAAAGGGTGAAGCCTGCCAAGGGCACATGTACAGGCAGCTGCTAAGGGAGACACAAAGCCTAGGCCTGTGTCAGCTTTTCTCTGAACATCCGCTTCTCTGGCATTCTGAATGGGGCAAGAAAGATTTGAAATTCCCACCCCGGGAACATCTGCCCCACATTACCTTTGCCTTGTTTTTAATTCCCAGGACCACCAGGGTCTTGAAAACATCATCAGTTATGCAGATTATTTTCTCCCTCTTTTATGTAAGGTTTCCTGCTGAACTTCTCAGAGTAAAGGTTTAGATAAGTAGCTAAGTCCTTGAGCACTCATTAACATGAAGATTAGTGCTTTGGTTTCTCAGGTGAACATTATTCCTCAAGGGCTTCTGGGGGTTGCTGAGCCTTTGGGCAGTGCTTATCAAACTTTAATGTGCATATTAATCACCCACGGATCTTATTAAAATGCAGATTTTGATTCAATAGGTGAGGCTTAAGGTTCTGTATGTAGAACACTTTGCAGGTGATGCCTGTTCTGTTCCATGAATCACACCGAGAGATTCAGAGTTTGTCAATTTTCTCTCTGTAACTCCAGCTTTTTATAAAGGAATATCCCCCATATAATTTTTCTGAGCATATACCATGTTACGGTTGGCAAATATATCAGGATGACCGATTCTGCAAAGTCAAACATATTTGAGAAGGTGTTCTTCAGATTACCTGATGAGACAATTAAATTATATCTGAGTTACCAAGCATCTCTCTGTCCTATTTTCTCATGACCCTGCTGCCTAACCCCATAAATGAGAAAGGAAATACATGAATAACATTCAACTAATTAATTCTTACTTCACAAATATACAAACGGAAAACCTCTCTGTTCCGTTACAGTGGCCTACGTGCCTACTCCAGTATTCCTCATTAGATTCCATGCTCTTTGGATGCATGTCAGGTTAATTTACAAAACTCCTCTTCACTTTCCTGTGTCTTGCTGTAGGACATGCACGTCATCAGCACAGATGAGAACCAAGTGTTTGCAGCAGTCCAAGAATGGAACCAAAATGACACCTACAATCTCTACATCTCAGACACCCGGGGCGTCTACTTCACCCTGGCCTTGGAGAATGTCCAGAGCAGCAGAGGCCCTGAGGGCAATGTCATGATTGACCTCTATGAGGTATGTCACAAGACACGTGTTGTGCTGAGCTACCTCAGAACCCGGTCTGGCTGATGAGGACCCAACATTGGCTGTTTCCTCCATCATTTTAAACACGAGGGAATTATAGGGCCTCATTCCATGTGGGAGAGGGAGTGGGTTCTCGAACATCTGTGTTGGTTAATCTGCATTCCACACAACAGCTCTGGGGGGGATCCTTTTTCCACCAGGTCCACAGGCCAGGAAGCCCCAGGGGACCTGGAGCATGTCTGGGGAAGCAATGAAGCAGTTAGAGGGTTTGAACCAGAGGGATGGAGTGTGCAATTTGAAAATAGTCTGAGGGGCCAGCAGGGTATCAGGATGTTGAACAAAGGGAGCAGTGGACCCTTGTTTCTGTCTGAGGAAAAGAATGAAGGAGACATCGTGCATTGCATCAGAAGACACTCCTTTGGACTGGAACACCTTTGTAACTAGATAACCTCCTCTGGCTACTCACCAGTCTCTCAGAGGAACAATGAGTGAGATAAGATTAAGGGGCCTTTCTTTCCTAAATGAGGAGCACTGGGGAAGAGACAGAAAGCAGAGTTTACCAGCCTTCCCCAAGGGAACTGGGGTCCTTTGTTTCTAAAAATGACCGAGATTAAACCTAAAACCTTAGAGGTTGGATCAGTTAGCTTTCATGATAAATGCAGATGAGCTAATTGCCATTTGAGGCACCTTGGGTAGAAAGAAAGCTGCTATTTGGGGATGGATTGTAGCCATTTGTCAGTTATACCTTGAGCTGTGAAGGATTAATAACGCTTAGAATTACCCATTAAAAAACACATTCAGAATTTGGGATGAGTAATCATATACCTATATTCAACCTGGAAAATATGCTAAAACTGGTTTAAGTATGTGCAGTCATAATGATCCTCTCATTTGGTTGAGTTCAAGCTCAGACAGTAAAAAGGTTGCCTGTATAAGGAGAGGCATGTTATCTAATATACCAAGGAAAGAAACCAACTTCACTGAAGAAATTTCAATCTATCATTTTAATTTCATTTAATGTTATCTATACTCCTTCTCCTTTAGAAGTTCTTATGGATTTTCTTTCAGTATTTAAACTTGTCACTATGTATAAAGGCTTGTTAAACTATATGCTATATAAAATATATAAACTATATTGTTAAACCAATTCAGAGCCCAGGGATTTGTCCTGGGAATTATGGTAAAATAGCATAGGACATAGTGTGTGTGTATATTTAGAAAAACACATTGCAATCTTTTTAACATATTCACAAGTTTCCTCCACTTTCTTTCCTGCTCATGTTCCAGGTAAATATAGTATCACGTATTCTGGAAAACTTTTACCCATTGTGGTGATTTAGTTTCTGATTTGTGTTGGATAAGATTGTGATTTAGCTTATAGATTTTGGAGTCAGGTTGCCTGGGTTTAAATCCTAGCTATACCATATGTATGTATTCTTGAGACACATCCAGTAACTTCTGAGCCTCAGTATCCACGTTAAAAGTATGGAGATAGACAGGGTACCTACTTGATAGAATTTCTTTGAGGACTAACAAGTTACTCTTGAAGTACTGTGAACAGTGCCTAAAATGTACAACAAATTATAAATAGCTTAATGAATGTTATGTTCCAATGAGTTTAAGACCCAGTACCATGTTCTGTTCTTACAGTCTTAAAATCTTTCCACATTGCTTAAATGTCTAACATATTTCCACTATTTCAGATCTCTACTTCTTCCCATATTGCAATTAGCATGGCCATATGACATTCTTTAACACCAACTAGTTGTCTCCTTATAAACAAGTATAAATTGCTACATTTCTTTCCTCATTTGTAAATGTCTTATAAACATTTAAACTTTAAGGGTGTTTTGTTGAAATGCCATGCGTTATCTTGCCTTGATCCAGCACTTATAATGGAAATATCTTGCTTCGAGTTCTGGCTGGTATGAAGTCAAAGCAGCTGTTCCAGATTAATCACCCAGTTTGCTTCCCTGATCTTGGCTCTGTCCTTGTTCTCTCAAAAATATTTTCTGATTTTCAGCATGCATTTCCCCTTCCTGATTATCCCCTCCCCTCTTCTCAAGTCAATGTGGAATAATTTCTCTGGATAAATTTTGTTTTCTGCCAAAATAGAGAACATTTTAATTGGTCCCTTGATGATAAAAAGGATGACAGATTTGAACAGGAATGACTTTGCAATGTCCTGTTATTTGCAATTGTTTTCTCAAATGGTTTTCTCAATTTAAACATCACTAACAGGTAAAGAATGAGAAGAGGAAACTGAGTGATGTCTGGCCATGGCAACCATTTTTTGGTTATTCCTTGTGTTTCCTCTTGCATTTCTCTTGCAGTTGACTATTTGTCAGAAATCTGCTGGCTCTTATTATCATCACAGTAAGAGCACTGGGTGACTGAGTTATGTAAAGACGTTCTGCATCCTGGGCCTGGGAAAAAGGATCTTTGTTTTGTTAACCTGACAGTGCACAGCAACTTGAAATTGATGTGATCAGAGTGGCAATGCCGTATCTGCTGATTACCTAGATAGAAAGAATATTGGCTGATGAGGAACCTGGCACAAATGTGCCTGAAATCTGATTGTTCTGGCTAGCAGGAAGCTGGGAGCCATCTAGCATGAATTTCCCAGTAGAATTGCAATGAATGATGAGCGCTTAGAAATAAATGAAAAGCAAGAAAATCCATAAGTGAAGTAATAAGAGGCAGAGAGGAGCAACATAGGAGGTGTAGGAGACAGAGAATACATGGAGTACACATCTGCTCACCTTTGGTGGTGACTGAGGTGACCTTTGGTTTGTGTCCTTAGGATGTCTCTGCCTGCCAGTTAGTTACCTGCTAGTCCTGTATGTGTATGCTCTTTAAGCTAGTTTAGCAGAGGGAAACTGTACAATGTATAAGTGTATGATGAGTCTGTGTATCAAGGATGTGAATCGTTGATGAGTCTTTGTGGGAAAATGCGAAAGGAAGCACAGTTCTCATTAAAATCAATCATTTTGCTCACATGCATTGGACCCCTGCAACAAATGCAGTTCTCTCTACAGTAGAAAAAGCATGTATATGATGAAATAGGGAGCAAAGTATTGGGGAGCCATATTATATGGTAAACTTATGGAAGCACCAGAAATTTCCCTTGATTTCCTTGATTTCCCTTGAGTTGTTCCTTGAACATAGGCCCCATTCAAGAGAATCAAGAAATGTGAGCCAGGAAAGTTGGTGACAGAGCAGAAGTGCTAGAAACTCATTTTTGTTCATGAAAGATCATCATAATAACAATAATAGTTGGGTGTCATTGTGGATCAAGCTCTGTGTAAAAAACCATCAATGATTATCTAATTCAATTCATATAGTCACTTTTTGACATAGGGACTATAATCACTTCCATTTTACACAGAAGTAAATGGAGACAGAGTGCGATCATTTTTGCAAGATTACAAAGCTAGTAACTGGCAGATTTAACATCTGAAGCCTAGAGTATGCAAACTCGTAAGTACGAACTATTTTGTGACTCTGGAAGGATTAGTAGTTGGGATTGTAGCTGAGTAATAGCTATAAGACAGAGGAAGATTGAAAGGCAGGGTAACTAGTACTAGAATTTGTTTAGCAGTAACAAAAGTTAGACTAGAAAAAGAAAATGGTCTGGGAGAGCCAACACAAACAGAGTGAACAGATGATATCTCTGGACCTGTTTGCTACCTTCTGATCCAAGTCCTGAGCCTACAATCATGCTAAATTCAGACAGTGTTATTGTGTGGCTCCCAATTTTGTGTAGTGTTGTGTTTGTGTAAAAGGAGCCTAGAAACAAGTGTCTTAAAATTCTGTCATTCCTGAAGAGCACAGTGCTCCAGGGGCACCATACACAAAGGGTCACAGAAGACAGCATGCCTGATGGTGGCCAGAGCAAAAGAGATGTGATGAGTGTGTCTGAGGCATGTGATTCCTAGTGCATGCATCTGGTGTGGATGATGAGAGGGAGTCTATGACAGCTTTAGACAAGATCTTTCCTCCTCTGGGAAGTGAATATTAATTAATAATGATGAAGAGCACTTTGGCTTAATGGACAATGACAGTTCATGCAGCCAAGTGAAAAGGTTTGTGTTGGGAATGAAGCCACCTGGCCAACAAACTCAGAACGCCCAGAATGTGTGCCTACATGAGTGAGCCACAGCGGATGTCAGAAAGACACGGTGCATGTTTTGTTACACACGTAGTGTCCTCTCCATGTTATAAGTATGCCCTCTGTAAAAGAAAGCTCCACAGTTATGGTGATGAAGCTGATACCTAATTCCTTAGGGAAAGACTACCTCTAACAATCCAGTATAGGGGATAGGGAAGAAAAAACCTCCCCTATCCAGGACATATTTATTACAGGACATAGAACATACCATCTAATTACTGAAGACTCTTGTCACTCTGGGAGGGGAGTGCTGCATGATCAAGGCAGCAGGGAAGGAAAGAACAAGGAGACAGTTTTTGGCAGTGGGTTCCTTGATCGCAGAGGTACTCCTGGTACCTGCAGAGTATGTCTCTCTTGGCCAGGATCCTCTCTTTAGAACAGAAAAAATATCCTATCCGCAAAGCCCAAAGAAATTATAGTCATGATTATGTTCTTTCTTGCCACAGTTTTTGATTCATCTTTTTCATTTTCTTCAAATTTTGACAGTTTTGATTTGTAATGAGAGTCTGAGTCAGAGAGGGTGGGAGGAATCATCTCCCAATCAGCATGACAAGCAGAAATGAACAAGAAGAGGTCTTGTGCCCAGGTCTTCCCAACTTAGCTTCCGCACGGAACATGGGAAAGATGAGGAGAGAAAAGGGCCCTTTCGCAGTTAATATCAAAAGGCAAAGGAAATAACTGAGCTCATCCTTTAAATCACTAAAGAAATCCAAGTCCCGGTATCTAACATATTCTAACTCTCAAAAAAAGGTCTGTAGAATGAATGTATCGTTGTTTAGGCATCCTAGGTGCTATACCCCCAGTATTTATAAGAATATATGATAAATAGTAGAAGTTCAAAGGTATTTATTAAACAACTATTGAGTAAATGTACTACTGAATGAATAAAAGGCAGCTTCCTGTATGTGTAATATGTATACATGATACTTCTCTCCGAATGCTCTAGGGGGAGAGAGAAGTTTGAAGAAATAGTAGAGTATGTGGGTTCTAGAGTTAGGAAGACTGTCTAGGAGTCCAATTCTAAGGTTCTCTAGGGAATGACCTTTGGTTTTCTCATGTGTAACATGAAGATAACATTGACTCTACCACTGAGAGTTCATGGGCAGATTGATGAGCTCATACTTACAAAGCCTTTCATCTAATGCCTAACTCTTCATAAGAACTTAATAAATCTGGGGTACGGTTATTGTGGTTCTGTTGTCTAATGCAGATGTCTTGCTACCTATTTTATTAAAAACAAAACCACAACTTCTTGTACAGAGTGGCTTTTCTATTATTAATGTTAATGAAGGAATATGGTCGGTCGAATGACAATCCACAAGTTATACTGAAGCAGGAGATTATAATGTGAAAGAGAACAGGAGACGTCATGATGAATTAACTTGTTTTAAGGAGTGTAAGGAGTACTTGAGAAGTTTTTGGGAAGACTGATGTCCTTAAGAGGTTTATGGAGTTGTTAAGAGCCGAGACATTGGTACCATCTGTATAAGAGACAAATTGGGACTCTTCAGGATAAAAAGAGATGCTGGTTTCTGGAAGAAGGTTTATTGAACTGGGCCTTGAGGGATGAATAGGTAGAGAATGTCAGGGTGTGTGGTCCAGGGGACTAGGGAGTAGCCTATACGATCAAAGAGAGTAAGATGTTGCCCTGGGGCACAGTATATGTGTCGATGTGCTTTGTGGATGACTTGAGGTTTGAGCTATAACACTTCATGTTTAAAGTCTAATCCAAATGCTATTTTGGCTTATGTGATATCAGAGAATAAGAAACAATTACTAATTACCTTTGGGACTTCTGGTTTTAAATTCCCCATACTGGAGGCAAAGGAAGAAAAGTGGCCTCTCAACACATTCAGCATTTCTGCACAGAATTCAGAACCATAGAAAAGGTCACAGGTCTTTCCCCAAAGGAAGAGAGACACCCAGCAGTGAGATAGGTCATTCCCATAAGAGTATCTGCCTTGGAAAACATGTTTACCTGAAGGTGTGTCTTCCATGGAGAATGTTCCTTTTTCCCTTCCGGTCCCATCCCTCAGCCCCACCCCATTCCACAAATAGGCACATACTGTGGCTACAGAGGGAAGTTGTCTGGCAACAAAAACATGTCCTCTCATCCGCAGGGGAACCCCAGGCCTTCCATGCACTCATAAACACACATGCACACAGTTAACACACATCCTGTGTTTTGGGCACTAATGCTGCTCCTTTGATAGCCAAAGTCCTCCAGTAAGAGCAAGAGAACCCAGGAAATATCAGGTGACGCCTCACAAAAGAGCCCTGGAGGAAAGTGTCTCATGCATATGGGTGCACCAAGACACGCTGAAAGATGGACTTCTCAGGCTCAGCATAAAAGGAACAGGGAATGGTGGGTGGGTGAAGGAGGGGTACCTAAGAGCTGGGGTGACCATCTTTGCAGACAAGTCCAAAGAAACAAACAATAAAAAAAACACCTCAGTTGGGATTTTCATGGACTAAGTGCCTTGGATGCAAGAGGAAACTAAGCAGACCCTCTGCAACTCTGTCCCCTCTCGTCACACATTCCCTCTGTTCTGCCAAGTTTTTATTCCTCACGATAAACCTGAAGGCCAAGCTGCAAGAGATGAATTACAAAGCACAGCTCTCTACTCAAGTGGCTTTTGATAAGGCCAAGCAGTCGGGAGCCAATAAAGTCACTGCTTCTGCAAATCAAATGAACCAACCTCTAAACACACAGAACCCTTCTCTACCACCCTGGCCAAAAGAGGGAGCGAGCAGGAAGAGAAATGGGCAATGAAACTACAGGAAGAGGTAATGTTTTCATTCCCTGTGTACCTACTATAACCTCCTAGAGTGTCGGGTGTGTAAGACCTTGCCATTTCTCACCAAAGGGTGCGCCATGGAGGGAAGACAAGTACGTGACTTTGTGAAAATTCTGATCTATGAAATTTAATGTTTAAAGAACTGGCAGTTTGGTCATATTTAAATATGTAACAGCCTTTCAAACATATGCAAAACCAATATGGGTTTCCCTGGTGAGTAGTCCTTCTGGAGCTGGTATACTGAGTGAATAACTAAAATTATCTGTAATCAACATGCCATTGTTGGGAGGTCTAGTGCTCCTGGAATGTATGTCTCCCACATTTGTTGAGGATCAACAATGCGTAAGAAACTGTTCTGGCTTCTGGTGATTGCCCCAAATGAGGCTTGTTTTCCTAAGCAGTTCAAAGCATTCCTCCCAGCCACTCATGTATGCCATTTATTTGCTTAACAAACTTGTCTTCCAAAAGTGTATGAAGTTGGCCCAACTCTAAATTATCCCAGATGCCAAATCAGCGGGTACAAACTAATGAGGTTTGATTATGTCAAAAGCAAAGGCAAACCATGGGTCTTCTGTTGATTGAAAACCAGCCTCTTTGAATTGACAGATTCAGAGCTGTAGCTGCGGAAAGAACATTGGAAGTCAGAAAATGTGGGTGTGAACCCTAACTCTCTGTTATGTTAAGTAATCAAATTTTGTTTCTACCTCAGTTTCCTTATCCATAGCATTGACATAACAGCTGTTGTGCAGCTTTGCAGCGAATTTTGAAGGGTTTTTTTTTTATACAAAGCACTGGGCATAGTGCTTGGCTCATGGCAGGGACCAATGCAATTGTTTTACTCTTTTGCCTAAAAAATTTTATGTGATCATAGAAAGGGCCTGAGTTAAATTAAATTGCTGAAATATGCCTGCTCGCTTATTCACTTTATCCCTGTCTGAGCTCCAGAAAGCCACTTAATCTAAGTTTCTGTTTCCTTATCCTCAAAATGTGGACAATGACAACTATATCTATTGCTTAACACAGGCAGTGTGGGAAGGCGCAACTGGACACATTCAGACCCTTTCCTCAATGCCCTCCAGGTTTCCTGAGCTGTCATAATTTCAAACAGAGTAAAATATGTATGAATGTGTTTAATAAACTCAGTCACCCCCCAAAATGTAATGCATAATTAATGATTTGTTAGAGCACACTTTGGGCAACTTACCAATTGTTACTTCTTTCATAACATATAGAAAAGAGAAGGTAGTCATATTTAGAGCCAAATAATTAATAAGGACTGTCTATAGTAGGAAGAACAGTGGGAACGTTATGGGAATGGAAGAGGGAATTATTCAGCAACTTAGGGTCATCACTACTTCTTTAAATTTAAAAACAGTTCTCTTCCGTTCAATGTATTTTGGTGGCTTAATGGAGCAATCTTTTACAGAAAAAAAAGAAAAAAGCAGTAGTAATTGGATCAGGAGCTATCCCTGACCTCTTTCAATTGCCCAGGGCTCTAGATAGCACCATGATTTAAAGGGTATCCAGCCTGTGGTCCACAGGCCGCAAGATGGCTGTGAATGTGGCCCAATGCAAAATCGTAAATTTACATAAAACATTATGAGATTTTTTTATGATTATGAGTCGCGATGTATTTAATGTGTGGCCCAAGACAACACTTCTTCCAGCATGGCACAGAGATGCCAAAAGGTTGGACACCCCTGGGAGCATGAGCTGTGGAGACCTAGAGTTGTGGGTTAAAATCTCAGGTCAGCCACTTACTCTCCTGTGTGCCCACTGTTTCCTTTGGCTGTGTGACCTTGGGCCAGTCAGTTAACCTGGATGAGCCTCAGTTTCCTCAGCTGTAGAAGAGAATAAGTGATACTTACCCAAGAGGACTGTTAAAAGATTTAAATGAAATAAAGTATTTAAGACTGTGTCAACTACACCTAACATAAAATAAAAGTAGCCTCTATTTATCAATAATTTACCAAGCAACAAAACTGAAATCACCAAAGTTTATCTCTAGGCAACGGGAAGCTGCTACCAACCTGCCTTAGGGGAACTAAAAATTCTCTATCAAATTTGCATTATGATGCTCCCCAACCCCCCGCCCCCCACAAACTGGAACAAATCTATTGCTTTCCCACCATCCAGGGAGTCATTATACTTAATCATCACCCCCCACTCCCATCCTCTCACCCTGTCTTTCCTCCAAGACAAGTGCTCACAGCTGAATTTTTGCACAGGCTCACAATCTGCTTTTTTTTTTTTAAGTAAACGAATATATCCCTTCTCAAATTGATGTATTTTTCAGCCATGTCAATTTTTCCCAGGTAGCAGGGATAAAGGGAATGTTCTTGGCTAACAAGAAGATTGACAACCAAGTGAAGACATTCATCACGTATAACAAAGGCAGAGACTGGCGTTTGCTGCAGGCGCCAGACACGGATTTGCGAGGTGATCCTGTGCACTGCTTACTGGTGAGTCTTCAGATTGGGGCGGAGCGCTCCAAACAGTGAGGGCTGGAAAAATGGGTGTTAAAGCAAGCAGATGGAAATGGTTTCAGGGCTCCTCGTTTAGTCGCTGAACAAGAGGGGACAGGGAAGGGCATGAAGGCAGCATATTGAAGAGTCATAGTGCTGCCTTTTGTGAAGGACCAGAAAGGAGAGAAAAGCAGAGTTTCTTGCTCACTTCCAAGGATGTTCAGCTGCAGCCCAAATTCTGAGGAGGACCTCACATTGTGGTTTAAGGGAGACTAGAATGGTTTCCATTACGGTGGGGAGATACGTCTTTAATTTCCTGTGAACAGCCTGTTATAGATCAAATTACACATCTAACGGTAGAATTGATGCACTGAATGTGTAGTTGTGCCGTTGTATTTTCTAAAGGAGATGTTTATTCATATTTTCAGAGGAGTTTATGCCTCAAACAAGGAAGGGGAAGAACTACTGATTTAAACTTTGATTTATACTCTTTATGGCATGTTCAATTCATATGTCACATTAGATAAAGCTGGAGTGGGCAAGCAATGGCCTATGGGGCAACTAGAGCCCACCGCTTGTTTTTCTAATTCAAGTTTTCTTGCAAAACAGCCATGGTTATTCATTTATATATTGACTATGGCTTCTTTGGCTCTATAGTGGCTAAACTGAGTAGTCATGTCAGGGACCTTGTGGTCCACCAAGCCTAAGATATCTATTATCTGGTCCTTCTAAAAACTGTTTGCTGACCCCTGCTTTGAGTACAGCTCTCTTTTAATTATCTAACATTTAGGGGGAAAAGTAGATCAGCATGAAGTTATTTATATATTCAGTTATATGTTAGTGTCTGAGAAAGGGCTTAAAAATGGGTCTTGCCTTCAAGGAGCCTGCAGTCTACTTGAAAGAGATGATGTTAATAAATGAAAGATTATAGGGTTACATCTTATTCCTTCCTAGTGGTTCTGGTATCGGCCCTATACTTCACGCATGAATGGAGATGCAGTGAATGAAGAGGAGGGAAGGGAGAGATTTAATCACAAAGCAAAGTGTAATTAAATGCTAATGTCTTTAAAGCAATTCAGAAGGTGTATTTATATTCACAAAAGGGAGACACCAGTGTGTTAAGCTGGAAAAAAGACCTCTTAGTTTTAGGAAGGGCTTAGAGTGCATGTATCTCTATCAGGATTCCCAGTCATCATACAATTCTGACTTGAGTGTTATCCACATGCAGCTTGCTTTCTTCTGTCCCATGAAGTCTGAACAGTCACTTTGCAGGTTCATCTCATGCAGCTGCAGGCGGGTCACCCTCCTACCCGAGAAGATGCCAGCAGCCATAGCTTGACCTTATTAGTTGCAGAGGATAACACAGTTGTCACTGTGCATCAGGGAAGCTGTCTGCAATTCAGCCTCCCACTCAGCTTCCATCCTTATTACTGGCAACTCACAGGGGGAAAGCCAGTTGATAGAGTGAGGGCACAAAGCCAGTGACAGAGAAAGTAAATGTAAGTTATTAGTGAATGCTCTCTATGCAAGGCATAGTTCAGTAACATTTTAAAAAATAGGGCCGCTTTCCTAGTTTAGCTATTTCAAGGCAGAGCACCATGATATTTTTCCCAAGGTGCATGGTGTGCTCTGTTGCCTTAATGTGGTCCTCCATCCTTTTGTGTGCTTTGGAGATTAAATGTCTGTGAGAGAATTAGCCATATGCTATAAAGAGGCTGTCCTGGGTCCTTGGGCATCATAAAGAAGCCATTAGAAATGCCTCTTACACAGAGCACTTAGTGAGGTTTTCCCTGCCCCATCCACCACCAGCCCAGTGTTAGGAGGTCCTGGTGCTGTGCCCCCAAACATCTAAATGCAGGGACCATCCTAAACAAGCCAATGCCATTTCTCATTTTCCGTGTAGTGATAGGCTCCTAAATGCTCCTTCTGTCTCGGTCTGGCAGCCTCTCCTCCACATGGCAGCCGATGTGACCTTTGTTTACTTTAAAACCAACCTTATTGAGGTAAAACATACATACGTAAAAAAAGTGCCCATTTTAAGAGCGTAGTTTGATGAATTTTGACAAATGTCTGTACCCATGTAACCACTACCACAGTCAAGATAAAACATTTTTGTCACTTCCAAAATTTCCTCTGTCCTACTTTGCAATCACTGTCCATACCATGGAGCCTGGGCAGCCACTAATCTGCTTCCCTTTACTATTGAGTTCCTTTCCCTAAAATTTTATATAAATGACATTAACTTGAGTTGAAAACTTCAGGTCACGCCTCTCTGTTACTTAAACCTTCTAATGATTAATTTGGGTCAAAGAAATTCCAAGTGCTTTACCATAGCCCGCAAGGTCCCTTATGGTCTGGTCTCTGTCTACTTCTCCTGCCTGGTCTTCAGCCTCTCTCCCCCTCCCTACATATAAACCACAGTGGGAGAGGATGGTGTTTCCATATCATTAACTTACTGTGCTCATTTATGTCCTAGCCTCTCTGCATTCATCATTAATGCCCTTTTCCTAGCCTGGCCGCATCTTCAAATTCAGGTCCTTGATTGATTACCCTAACTCAGAGAGCTCACTGAACTTTTCCTAAAGTTGTTCTTATCCCAGCACCATTTTATTCATGACCCTTTCATCCTTTGAAATCAGCCCATGCATTTGTCCATGTTCCTCTGCTAACATAACACGTGAGCTGCCTAAACAGAGGGACTGTGGCTATCTTCATGGCCACTCCAAAGAATCAGCCCAAGAATCATACCTGTCGAAGTGAAGCTGCTCCGCACAGGTGTTGTCGTGGCGGGTGTTCTGTTCATTTGAAGCAGATATGCCATTGACATGTGTTGTTTGGGTTTTACATTTGGCCCTCAGTGGAAGCCTTTCCTTGCCACTGGCCGTCACACTGAAGGAGTTGTCCTAATAGCCACCTTCTGAAACTCCTGGGCTCAAGTGGACACTGAAGTCAACAAAATCAGTAAGCTCATTAAGACAAAGATGAATTAATAGGATATGATGTACAATACCTGGGAGTCTCTGAGCCTACCTCCCTCATTAACCCTGTTGCTTAATGTGGTTTCAATCTGAGTTTTCCAAAGCAGGGAGCAAGGTGAGGAGGGGGAATGACACAGGGAGTGGGGAGGGAGTCCAAAATCACTTTATAAAAATCTGCCAAAGGCACAAAATAAGAAGAAAAATCTTTGAGCTGCAGGAGACCCAGACTGTTAAAAATCTTCTTGGCTTGGGAGCTGGTGGCAGAGAGGAGATAAAAAGTCATTTTAAATTGTGAGTACTTAGAAAGTGACGGTGTCACCAAAAGCACAGCCTAGTGATTAGAAAAGAGATTTTCCAGCAGGGCTGTTACAAATGTGGGACAAGTTCAGAATTACGGCCACAAAAAGAATGTTCCTGGTAAAATGTATTCTCTAGAAATAAGACATCCAGGGTAATTTGGGGCTGTATTTTTAGGACTTTCAGACTGATTGCCTGGAGGGCTCAACTGGGATTTCTTTCCTCGGAAGGCAGCATTGTACAATTAGATGGGGCATTCCAGGGCACAGTCCACCTGCCTCCAAAGCCTTAGGATCGGTCTCTCGAGAGGCAGCATGTGAGCTGAGCCCATGACAAATCCTCGGGCCCTGAGGGGAAGCACAGTGTTGCATGGAGAGAGGCTGTGATTTCTTTATGGATTCAGTTGGCCGTTTTCTGTTGGAGCTAAGCAGCCAGTGACCCCAGAAGATTCTTAGCTCTGTTTTCCACTCCTTTGCACACTTGACTTGACTGGGCATGTTGTGCTGGGTCGCCTTGGTGCGGGATGCCCCACCCCAGCCATTGGGTCCAGGGGCCTCCCTCTCCTTTGCCATTGACCCTTTATTGAAATCTATGGATTCAGAGCACCAGCTTAGGGTCAGAGACAATGTGTGTATGGGGGTGGGTTTGGGGGCTGTTATTTGGGAATTGACCTGCTGCCCTATTATTTATGAAACCTCTGATCTGTCTTTTCAGGGCAATACTCAGATGGGGATTCCTAGGGATAATAGTACCATGAAGATGAGATCTAAAGGCTTTAATATAGAGGTTGGGGGGAAAGGGGCAGTGAAATAAGATGCTGGTTGACCCTCAAGTAATCTAACGGTTTTTTGAGTTCATTTATTTCATGGTGGGGAAATGTCTTCTATCATTTAGTAATTCTCCACTGGCCATTCACAGTGCTGGGAAGACAGTGGCTTGTTAATGGATCTATAAAATCCAACAGATACTTACTGAATGCTTTCAATGGCCAAAGGATGTTGTTGGTTAAAATAAGAAATAAAAGAATAAGGTAAAAGAAAGGTAATTGGGACTTAGAAGTCCACTATGCACTTCAGGAATTTGTGTACTCCCTGAAATTGAATACAAAACTCTGTGTGCACTTCCTTTGTTTACTTTTTCTAGGTAGAGTCCTTAATTTGCATCAGGTTCTCAAACTCTGTACTTGGCCCTGCATAGAGCGAAGACTAAGGATGTAATTGCTTGTAGAATTGACTGACTGATGATCTTCCATCCCCTGTGACTATGGAAGGACATATCAAAGGGCAGCTTCCAACATGTATGGTGGGCCTTCCTAGGTCATGGTGGGTTCAGTGTACAGTTCTATATATTCCTACCGCGGAAAAATAAGAAAAATAGGGAAGTGCTTTTGGGACAGGCTGTGTTTTGACTGTAATGAATTGGAGATAACTCTGGAAAGATACGCACATAGTCAGTACATGACTGGCAATGGGAGAAAGGAAGGCCGGAAATCAGAAACAGAAGAGGAGAGAAGTGGACCGAGTGCCTCTTGCCTGCACAAAAAATAGAGAAGAATTGGAAAGCTCGTGTTCTGTCCTTCAGGATTTTGCCGTGGCTTGACAGCCATTATATTAAACCTCTCTATTAAATTTTAATGACTGAACCTTGACAAATGTTTAAAACTGGTCAGATACAAAAGTTTAAGTGAAAAAAAGTGAAGATGAATCATTTAATGTTGTTTTTCATTGAACATTGGTGTAGATAGACTATATAACTTCTTTGGAAAAAAACAAAAAACAAAACAGAAAGCCACAGACTATTCTCCTTGTACCAGCTGGGGGCAATCCAGTACTACGAATGTGAGCGTGGAGGAAAAAGTGTGCCAAAAAGATCATTTCTAATGTTGCTGCTATTGCATGAACTGGTGTCTTTTCGTCTCAGATTAACTGATCTTGGGCTCTGAAAGCCATAGCAACTGAGCAGTGCTGAGACAGTGAATTGGAAATGCTCTTTCCTTTATAATGGCATGTTCCCATATCAAATAACCCTTGGGTCAGGTGGCAGCTGAGCTTTACAGTCTTCCAGACTGTTGAGAGATGAAGTTTGTGGCAAGTGGCAGCTCCAGATTGCAAGCTGGATGTGCTCCCTTGTCCAGGGATGTCCTACCCTGTTGGATGGTACAAAGGTGCTCCATTCAACCCATATGTCTAAGCATAATTCCCAAGGAGTGATACAATTCTAATGCCATAGAGATACTCACATTACTCTGTGGTTTACAAATAAGCCCATGCAATTCTGGCATTGTTCTGAGTAAAACAGCAATGTCTTTTCATTTCCTAACATAAAAGCATTTCTTATTTTTTTTCCAACTTTTATTGATTATGTCTTTTTTGATTTCAGGCTAGGTTCTACAGAAGATGCAAAGTAGCGCTTAATGTTTTCTCTTTATTTGTAGTGCATATGTTTTAGGGGATAAAACCCTATATACTTTGGATAGATAATACAGGATTGTATATAGTAAAATGAGCTGTTGTAGATCACAGAAGGGGAGGTCCTGATCGGCTGCAGTTGTCAGGAAGACTTCCATGGAAATAGGGTTTGACCCCTCTGCTTCATCCTGTCTTAGCCTCTGAGAGCTGTGCTGGGCTGTCCTGAGACCTCTGCAGAGTAGCAGACCATTCTAGTCTTCTTCTTGGACTGAAGGAAGCCAAGTGTTTGGGCATAGCTGTTTCTTCTTATAGAGGATGGTCTTCTTTACTCTTTTGGAACATTATAAAATTCCTTTTTTGAAAGCTTTACCTGAAACGTTCATGTAAAACCAATAATATATTACTATCATTATTCCTTGAGAGCTCGCTCTCTCTGGTGGCAGTGAGGAAAAGACCTTGTTGTGATCCACTGTTTTATTTCACCAGTATTTTGGCTGCTTTTATTTCTGAGTTTCATTTTTAGTTTGTCATTTTACTCTATCTCATATAAATTTAATCACCGCATCTCTAGCTCTCTGAATATCTGTTGGTTGAGACTTACAGAGCAGACTAAAAGTAATAACAGAGATACATTGGTGATTCCAAAAACTCGAGTCGATAAGATTAGAAAGCAATCTTCCTGAGCGATGAAAAGAAATGTGGGTTCAGACACAAATGAGTAGTTTTTGACAACTCGGTACAAGAACTATTTTAAATGAAACTTATATAAGATTTATCATGTTTTTGAAAACTGTTGATACATTAATCAGAAAATTTGATCAAGATTTTCACACACAAGTAAACAAGTCCCTTAAATTTTCATTTAAATTGCTATTACATTTTGCCTACGAGAATTACTTTTCTATTGAATAATACTGATTCTGATAATACCCTGACACAGACACTGTCAATGGTCTGGAGGATGTTTTGACAGTTTCACATGTCATACAGCTTCTTATAGACAACTGGGACCAAGGCCTCAGATGGAAAGTGGCTAAGAGAAATTGGCTGGCTTCTTCAAAGCTCCCCAGCCTCACCAAACCTTCTTTCCTGACTTCATATCCCATTTCTCCTCCTCAGTCTTATTGACTACACACTGTGTTATAACTCAACTCTCCTGCTTTCTGTCTTTCTTATTGACATTACTCAGGCCCAAAATGGCCTTTACTGTCCTCAACATCTCATCTACAGTTCATAGCCTTCCCATCTTTGCCCAAGGCACTATTTTCTTTTTGAAGCCTTCCCTGACCCAAAGCTGGACATCATCTTGTCACCTTCTAGAATATCTTATTTTGTCTTTACTGATCGTATGGCTGTTAAAATATTTTCTCTTTATGTTATTCAATAGAAGGATCTTAAATTCTACACTCCATGAGAGTCAAACCAATTTTAAGTCAATGGAACTCTTTCATAAGCTACACCTACTCTTTTGTAGATAGAGTGCTAACATGTTTGGTGAGTGCCCAAATACAATTCAGGCAATTAGACTGAAAATTAAAATGCCCTCCTTCACTAGCTTGGCAGCTGTCTTATGCTTAGTCTATACCAGACCAGATATTTGTGACATGAAAGATGTGTGAATGGAAGGGTACGTGGAAGGATGGGTTGACAGGATGGTTGGATGATCGGATGGATGGGCAGAACATGAGAATGAAATGACTGTTTAGATTATGTGCTTTCATGACACTCGTTTTTCCTCTTCTCAGCCTTATTGCTCACTACACCTTCACCTTAAGGTATCTGAGAACCCCTACACATCAGGGATCATTGCCAGCCGAGACACAGCCCCCAGCATCATAGTGGCTTCAGGTAAGCTGTATATCTCCACTGGGGACTTCCTGAGCAACCTAAAGATATTTTTGAATGGTACCTAAACCCTTGACCCTGAAGCAAGTATGCTGAAAAACCTTGCTCAGATATGTTTGCAATCTAAAGCCATCTCAAGCAATGCTGACTGCCAATATTGCTCATGGTTAGCTTGTGCAGAAGGTTCCTCTCACTACTGGCATGTGCTCTTTCTAGGTAACATAGGTTCTGAATTGTCAGACAGCGACATCAGCATGTTTGTCTCTTCAGATGCAGGGAACACCTGGAGGCAGGTAAGAAAGTATTCTGGATCAAATTGCTAAAGTTTAAATGACACTAAAATTGCCCAGCTGGATTCAGTTCTGGGAACTTACTCTACTACACATAATAACTTACTTAACTACATATAAATCCTAAAACTTGCCAATGCATTTATTTAGTTTTAAATAAGTCTTTGGGGTTAGTGAATCTTTTTGCACTTTGATTTTCTTTTTCTTTCTTTCTTTTCTTTTTTTTTTTTTTTTTTGGCTGTTCAGTAAAAATGACCCATTTTGAGAGCCTGTATGTAATAAAATTTATAAGTGACAATGAAACCAAATTAGATGTGATGGAATTTTTACCATAAGAGAAAAACAGAATTCCAAAGACTTTATCACATGGGGAACATGGCACTGGGGGGGGGGGTGGCTATAAATCCTATACCTAGTGCTGAGTTATCTCCATAAATTCTCCTTGCCTTCAAGTCAGAATAGAGAGCAATGCAGCGATATAGAACTAGCCATTACCCAGGTGGTGTTCTGAGATGTTTAAATCTCATGTGCAAAGGACAGAGTAATAACCATCATGGTGCATATGCTAGGAAAAGTAGAAATGAAATCACTTTAAATGAATGTGTTTAGCTTAAACACTTCCTCTCTTTATTCTGAGTGAAAATTAGGTACCCATAGCTTATAAAGCAGGCATTTAATGAGGTTTAGCAATCATAACACGATGTGTGCCTAATGCATGGTTGTTACCCTTCAATAAATATGTTTTAATAACCCACTGACATTTAATTATCATACAATAACTCGCACCGTAAATTGAAATCTAATGCGCAGGTAATCACCCAGCAATGAGAGTACTCTGCTTTGCATTTTAGACAGAGATCTCTGTGCTCTGGTCTGATTGCTATTTCCTAATTCCAGACCACTCATGAGTCCTCAGTGAGATGCATGTGTATCAAGAAGGGCAGGGAAAGGAAGAAATTTGCCAAAAATCCTCAGGGCTATTCATCTCAGAGGTATTTAAGAATACGGACTGTCAACCTTCCTCTGGAAAATAGTTAGAGAGTCAGGATCCCATTATTTTCCTTCAAACACCCCAAACACAGCAAAAGAAGTCTCTGCTTCTATAGTTCTGGAATAGGCTATATCTCAAGTATAAGAAGCAAACGAAGGGAAAAAGCATTACATAGGTCTATAGTGTAATCACCCTATAGGCAAGGCTGCACTAACCGTGTGACCATGAGAAAACAGCATGCATCATATACAGGGAGGACCTGGAAATTGTTTTCACCCTGTCTCCATTTGACTTCATATTGTTTCTCCACTTTTGGAGAAAGATCTAGTGATACATGTACCCAAAGATGACGATTCCATTTTGACCAGAGCTACTTTATGACTTGGTAGAGAATCTATTCATTGAAACTTTTTTCTAGAATACTTTGGAAATACTGGAATAACTATATCTGGAAAGGTCACTGTAATGCTGCAAGTCCCAGCTCCATCAGTCACTGCACAAATGGTCTTAGGCAAGCCTCCACATCTCTCTAAAACTTGAGTGGTCTCATCTGTAACCATGAGAATAGGAGAATAAAGCATCTCTAAGGTTTCTTCTAGCTTAAAATGTTAGCCAGTATGACAGTTATTTAGTATTCTGACATCATTATAAATGGTAATCAATAGAAGGTGCCATGAAAAGATAGGAATATAAACAAATGCATAACTATTAATTTATTACATCTAAAATTTTCTGTAACTCCAATGGTACCAGTAGCCCACCTGGGGAGCATAGTTCATAACTGTGTCTTCCCACGGATTTGGGGAAACCTCGTTCAATCATGGGAGGAATTTTTTTCTTTTCATCTGAAGACCAATTCTCTGAACTCTGGGTATGTGTGGCCGTGAATGTATGTCTATGTGGATGTTATTTCCTCTTCCAGATCTTTGAAGAAGAGCACAGTGTTCTGTATCTGGATCAAGGTGGAGTCCTGGTTGCTATGAAGCACACATCTCTCCCAATTCGGCATCTCTGGTAAAGGCACCTGCTCATGAGTCATGTACCTGATAGCTCATCACTGCTGAGACTAGGGGTCAGGCTATCAGACTGTGACCATTTTTGCCGTAAAATGTCAAGGCCTACTAGAGCATCATTTATACCTTTTTTCTATTAAAATAAGATTGTTACATATAAGGGGGGAAAAAGGATTGTGAGAGAAGGAGGGAAGGATGGAGGGGAAAGGTGGGGAGGGGAGAGAGAGAATGAGAATAAAGTCTGCCCCTGAAAGAGGAATAGGAATTGCATTATAGTTTTTAAATATGACAATATCCTCCCAAGTGCCTAGTTCTTTTAGCGCAATCATGGGTAGAATGGTATAATCTCCGAGTGCCTTAACTTCTTATACTCACCTTTCCCAAAATAGCATCTCCTGGAGTGTGTGTGTTCTGCACAGAGATCATGACACTTCTGTTCCTGATCGTTCTTCCTTAGTTTCCTGCTTGGGGGTGACATTCAGCAACTCTACCTGTAGGTCTTCCACAGATGGACATGCAAGGCCAAAGTTCCAGAGGGGTTTCCAATAGATTTTTCATGTGTGTTTTTGAAAATAACTGTCTCCACATGCAAGTTTGTTCAAAGTCAAAAGCCTGATTTTCCCTCCACTGTTAGTTACTTTGGTGACCGAAGGGAATGCTGCAGAAATAAGAGAAACATAGGCTTAGCCTGGGGGGATTCATCCGTAGAGAAGGTCAGAACAAAGGTAACATTCCGTGTGACCGTCAGAGTTGCAGGCCTCTCCCTTCTTGCCCTCTAGAGTCTGTCCTTCGGTACCCATTCCTTAACTCAGTGAGTCAACCAGGGTGTATAACAATGTAAGCGGGACTCTGCTAAGGCTCTGCTCACTTGAAGGTGGCTGGTTCAGATCCATCTGAGGAGGGCCCCTGAGGCCATTGCTCTTCAGAATCACCTGTAAGACTTGCTGCTGGAATGCAATTTGGGAGAGAGTCACACTGAGATCTAAGATCTAATAAAACATCAAAATTTCAAAACAAATTCTATTAAACGCTCATTATTATTCTCGTTTCATGCAGCTTTCCCCTTGTTAATGTTATAACACACCTGGGTCCCAAATTGCTTGGCTAACTGTATTTCTATCTTCTGATGAAATTAAGAACATTTATTCAAGGCTCACTTTGACAGTGCCTTAGGTACTTTTAAAATGTATGCTCTCCTGGTTGATGATATCTTTCTTTTGAAAAGATTGTTGTTGTTTTTTTTGCCTTTTACGATCTGATGACGGTTATTTTTTTTCTGTCATTAGGTTGAGTTTTGATGAAGGGAGATCTTGGAGCAAATACAGTTTCACATCTATTCCACTTTTTGTGGATGGGGTTCTGGGTGAGCCAGGGGAAGAGACTCTAATCATGACGTAAGTGGAAATTGATGATGTCTTCTAGTGTTACTGTTTATCCAGAAACATGTTTTATAGCTAAGTTTGTTCACTTTGGTACTGTTAGGTTTGGAGTTGTGAGCAAAGCCGATACATTGGATTTCACGATTTCTCAGCAAAGAGGAAAGAGAAATGCTGGCAGCCATTTTCTTGGCTTCCTTCTTCCCCTCCTGAATGGGCTGGGGGAATTTAGAGGCGATTATTTCAATAGGAAATAAAGCTATACATTTAGAACTTTAATCGCAAACAAGCTCAATATGTAGAAAATCACAGGCATGTAGGAATGGTTTCACTTTAAGGTAGAACACAGAGCTTACCCTGCACAGGCTTTTGTTTTTCCCTGGCTCTTTCCCTAACCCAATTGTGAGGCAAATTAGGGAAACCCTGAGAACAATCTGTTCTTGTGAAATTGCATTTGCTCTCATTCTTGTCTGGAAAAAGATGATCATTAATTTGTGAAAGACTTGATTAATGACTTGCCTGCCTATGGGGTTCAAAACATCAGCTTTGAATGTAAAATATGAAACTGTGCATTTTCCTTCCCCTAGAAAATTGGACATGGAAAACAGAGGGAAGTTATTAAAGTAGTTGATCCTGTCATCCATGGAAATGATGTAAAAAATCAAAGTGAATAATTGATATATTTTCAAAATTTGTCTTCCCTCCTGTTTTTCTTTGTTTTTAATGATAGAAAAGATCAACAAATGTTTAATATGCCTAATAGCTACACTTTAGGCCATGGTAAACATAGCTAGATTAGCAGCTTATTTCATAATTTGTCTTCATTTCATTTTTATATTTACAAAACACACATTAAAAAGCTGACTGAAAAGGCTGCTCTGTGGTTTTTACCCTTATCTACAGTTAGTGATTCAGACACCTCATTAAATATCTGAGTCTTTCTCAGTAAGGGGAGCAGGATGCACAGTGCAGGAAACAGCTGTAACCACTTGGCCCTGCTGCCCACCTTCCCCAGCGACTGGTGGGGAAATAAAATAGCATGGAAACCATGGAAACCATGCATATTAACTAGAGAACCTAGAAGTACAATCTTGGGCCAGGCAGAACGCAGCATTTGTGATTGTTTTCTCCATTACTGATTGATTGATGTTTTTGTTAACCGTTCGGTGGTACAATATATAGAAGTGGTCTTTTAAGTCAAACACCCTGGGTTCTGGCTTCGCCAGTTCTTTAGTGATTTGACATTAGATTTTGCAAATTAACAGAATCCTTTGAGCTGCAAGTTGCCCATATGTAAAGTGGAGCCAATAACAGTAACCCTCTTCATAAATGTGTTTTGAGGATTAAATGATATGATCAATGTAATGTGCTTAGCATTATACTAAGTGTATAGTAAAAAGCCAGCAAATATTAGCTGCCGTTATAACTGTTGGCCTTGTTATTACTGTGATTATTTTTGTCGTGAACTCTGTAGAGTGTTTGGACACTTCAGCCACCGCTCTGAATGGCAGCTGGTGAAAGTGGACTACAAGTCCATTTTCGATAGACGGTGTGCGGAGGAGGACTACAGACCTTGGCAGCTGCACAGCCAGGTAGGAGGAAGAGACTAGAGGGTGAGTGCTGAGCTAGAGGCACGGGGTGTGTTGGGGGAAAGCTAGTCATTCAAGTGTGGGAATTGGGGTTCTCTAAGCCAAAATGCTCATCTAGTGTTTTGTGTTCCACAGCAGTGAACAAACTCTACACTTTACAGCTTGTTGGGAAGTCATTTCTGTTTTTATTGTCCTAAGATATAATGAGATAAAATTCAAATGTGCTTGGCTTAGACTAACAACTTAAAATGAAATACCAACTCAGCACGAGGATCTAAACATAATTTATCTGAGCGTGTCACATGGAGGCAAGGCGGAGGCAGGGTGAACACAGGATGTAGCAAGGCAAACAGAGACATAAAATAACAAAACGATGCTCTGTGAGCAGCACTAAGAATGTCCTTTCTCCCCACTGCTATGACTCCCTGGGATTATATAGTGCTTCTCACCTCTTCGGAGATACTCCAGTACAAGAATGTAGAATTATCAGTAGGAAAATTCCCCTCCTCCTGGACCCTCAACTGTTCAGCTCATATCTAAGTGCTTGTGTGAAAGCCTCTCTCCTTAGATTTCCCCAAGCCAGAGGGCATCCTGCAGGTCTCAAATTGCATGGCTGAGGGTCTGGCTGCAAAGCCATCACTGTATTCAGGCAGCAACACATCCTTTATCCCAAACCTCACCTAAGTGAAACACACACACGTAGATGTAGAATGGAGTCAGTGAGAGTGAGCGTGCTCAAGAAAGACAGATTACAGTAGCTTAGACGAAACTCTGTTCTCGTCCCTAAGACACACAAAGAGAGCTACGTTTGACAGTGTGGGCTGTATCAGCTGAATCACCCACTCTATTCAGAGACTCAACAATAAATTATCGCCCATTTACATGGCTGGTATTTTCCCCTTTGGGAGGCAGAAGCATTGTGATGTAAAAAGCTTTTATTTATTGTCTAGAGAAACACTGAATTTAGTTATCTTGCTTGTCTGATAGATGGATATAAAATCAGTGTATAAAGTTGTGTGGGCAGAAGCATCATAAATTGGGGCAAAATGGATCTTTACGTTCCATAGCAATGCTCTCTTTCACATGCTCATAAATGACCAAGGGTATAAATCTTATAGGAGAATTGGTCTTAATTTTCACAGATTTGTTGGCAATACACTCGTTACAGGGCTTAGTCTTTGCTATCTTTGCGTCCCTCGCAGCCCTGCGCCTAACCCCTTGCCAAGGAAAGCTTTGCTGGGTACCTAAGGAGTTAGGGACATGTTTAGACACATCCTCAGAGCTTCTTCAGATTGCCTTATGAGTCACATTCTGTACTAGAGCTGCAGACATTGCAAATCAAAAGCCATCAACACAGAGCAGTCACCTAAGTCTACATTATACTAAGGTTTGGGAATATCTCCCTGAGCTGCCTTACGGTGGACCAGGCCAAGGTCCCAGTGTTGTGCTCAAGTGCATGAGATCCTTGTCTCCTTTCAGGGGGAAGCATGCATCATGGGAGCAAAAAGGATATACAAGAAGCGAAAATCAGAGCGGAAATGTATGCAAGGAAAATATGCCGGAGCGATGGAATCTGAACCCTGTGTCTGCACAGAGGCCGATTTTGACTGGTGAGCTTGCGCTATCCTCCCACAGAGTCCTTCTGTATATTTCACCCGTGGGGGCCTTAATGAAAGCTTAGACTTGAAATGATAGTGACAAACACAGAGCAAAATGACAAGCCACCTATTGGAGACATCATGTGCATATGGAAAAACCAGGAGTTTCTTTAGGCTTAAAGAGGATTCAGAAGATGGCTGGTAATTATCTTCATCTATGTGGTAGATCTCAGGGCAGAAAGGGAGACCCAATCCACCTTGAGTTGCCTCAGATGACAACATGAAAACAGTAAGTGGACTTTTCAGAGAGCAAACATATTTGTGCTCAAGATTAAACTTTCCAGAATCTTGGGTTCCCTGAGTGTGACACAGTGGCCTTCTAAGGCAGTAAATTTTCTAACTCTGCAAGTTTCCAATCGGGAATTAGCTGACTATTGCCTCTGCGAGCTGTGGAAGGTATTTCTGAATGATGCAAGGAATGATTCAGTGGCACCGCCAGTCTATAGCTCTTTGATCCCCCTGCTAAAGGGAATGTCTCCCTTTACCAGAAGTAAGCTAATTTAACTGGAAAGTACTGAGATGTTTAGATGTTAAATAAACTCGGAGTGCCATTGTAAGTTTCCTGGAGCATTTGATAAGCAGAAAGTTAACCTGTGGGGCCAATGATGCCCTTTCTTTGGTCTAGGTCAGAGTTTAGGATTCAGGTGAGTTTGAAAAATTATTGAGGATGGGAATGTTCTTGAGCATATCCATTTCATTTTCTGCTCCTTTCCATGACTCATATCTTTTCTTTTTCTATTTCTTTATTTGTTTTTAGTTTAGAGAACGTTATTGCTAAATATGAAGGTCAGTGTTAAATGATTGAAACTTACTTGCATGAAAATCAAAGTCATTCCTTTAACAATGTATTTTTAGCTGTGTAGCAATCACTGGCCACATCTATGATCATCAGAATATCAATGATGATTGGGCTGAGAGGTACTATGTACACACACATCACTTATCTTAGAGAAAGAACATCTCTCACGGGACACCTCTAGAGATGTTGTCTGAATAAGTACTACTGGGCAGGCCTGGCAAAATTGGCCACCAACATTCAGACTGATAACCCAAGGCTGATCCCGTCTGTTGGCAGACAGGTCATCAAGAGCCAGTGCTGGATCTCTGGGCTCAGCCAGAGGGCAGCAGAGCTTGTGACCTTGGAGCTCACAAGGAATTCTATAGGGGCTTCCCATCCATGACTTATGTTTTAATCAGTGTGACATTATTAGAATGGCAAAAATACTTCATCCCTGTCCTACCTCATAGGACTGACACCCTGAAATACATTTACAGGGAAAATGTCCATGGGATTTTTAACTCATTAATCACATCTCACTTTCTGAAGCCAGAATGCTTCTTCATCCACTGTATTCAAGGAGAACTTGAAAAGGAGGTTAATGTTTTATCTTTGTGATTTCACTGTTAGCTTACCAGCCATTCTTGTGCAGAGAGTATATGTATCCTCTCATAGAAGACCAGAGGGAGAAAGTGAGGTGAGATGGTCCAATTTCCTGATTTCACCCAGAAATATTTCTTTCTTTGGGAATCTTTTTCTGTGAGGTTCCAAAATAAGCTAGACTATGTTGTCAGTTTTGTTTTTCTTTTTCAATTTTAAGATAGTTTAGAGTAAAAGGAACACAGGGTGAGAAAGGCAGTAAGGTTTCCCCTTTTCCCTACTTCGCACACCCCTCAGTCTTGGCCCAATTCTTGTATTCATTTGAGATTGGAATCTGCTACTCTCACCACTAAATAAAATGTATTCTGAGAAGTGGGAAATGAGTTGTGAATGAGGCCATTGTATGCTTTCTTTTTGCCCCAAGGGGATTTTTGCAACTGCATAATTTCTGAAAATATTTTGGAAGGCTGACTATGACCTTTTTGAATTTCTACCAGTAGCTACAGCTTCACTGATTCCACTTGACTGTAGTATAATGAAAGGTGATTGTCATTGAACATTCCCTCTTGCCTTGACTCTTCCTTGGACAATGCCCTCCCAGGTGACCTTATCTGTCGTTCTCCAGCATGTGTAAAGTAACTCTCTGAAAGGAACATGGGGGGTCCTGTAGGCATCAGTTTTGAAGTCTTCCTGCCCATGCTGTGTTGAACCAGCACCAAATCCAGCTGGTTATATGCAGAATTTTAAGTGCCAGCTTCCTAGTGACAGGCCCCTTAGCTGAGCCTGTTTCTCCCTTCTGGAACCTTATGTGCCAGCATCTCACCTCCAACACACAGATGGACCAGTTCATCCTAATGTTTGCTGATTGCTGCCTGCAATTTGTCTATGCATGCAGAGGGGCAATTAATTGTCATCCTCTGTGCCCGGGCTCCTCTTCCAAAAGCCTAGAAGAGCAGGCCACTGGGAGTTCCCTGGAGGCAAGAATGAGAGGAGGCTGAGAGAAAAGCCTTTGACTGTTTCCAAACTAGAGAGAAGATTTAAAGCACTTAGTCCTAACTCGCCGTGCTAACTGACGAGGACAAAATTTTTCCTTGGGGAATGCTCACGACACTCCTGAAGGACATTTCCTTCTCCTCTGTGACTTTGAAGCATATGGCTTGTGCACAGAAGCAGACCTGGCTCGGCACTACTTGGTAGATCCAGATGTCTTGGAAGAGCACCCCAAAGACATAACCAGTAATGAGGATCATGGCACATGTCTGTTAAAAACTTCAGTGAAATTTTACACTGGTGGTTGAGCTTCCACCATAGCCTGTTTACTCATTATATAACTTTCAATCAGTATTGTGTATCCTCCTAATGAGAACATAATCTGTTCTCTCAGCTTTAAGATGTTTACTTGGAATAACTGGGCATTGAGACTTTATCTCTACACAGGCACCCCTGTTGCCTCCAAGTTAGCATTTCTGAAAATGGGTTCTGTGGGATATTTTCTTGGGTAATTGATAGATATTGCATGGGGAAAATATCCATTTTTGGACCACTGTTGATTCAATGAATACCTCTTTTTTGACTGATTGACTGGAGTCGCGGTTGGCTGTGGACTAACATGAAATTGTTCTCAGCAATTTTGCCACCTACTAAAAGGTTTCCCTTGGCTCTTTCCCCAACAGTGACTATGGTTATGAGCGACACAGCAATGGTCAGTGCCTGCCAGCGTTTTGGTTCAATCCATCTTCTCTGTCGAAAGATTGCAGCGTGGGACAGAGTTACCTCAATAGTACTGGGTGAGTGTCTGAAGAAGTAACCTTGATTGATCAGCTTTTGCTTCTTTTCACTATGTGTTAAACTTTGATCAGAATTCATTCTGATCAAAGGCCAAGACTATTTCATTCCAGCACAATTTTTTTGCTGTTGTTCTTTTTGTTAATAAAACACAGATTTGCATTAATAGTGCAAGTTTCATCTGAGAATAAAACCCCAGTGGTAAATAAAGAAATAAAAAAAAGTTTGAAGATGATGATGCTAATATAGAAATTGCTTCATTTCCGGATACTTTATTTCAAAGGTCTTTATTCAAGGCTACCTTTAACCATTAACTGCATCCCTGAGACAAAGACCAAATAAATGTTTCACATCTGCATTTCCTGGGTTGTATATGTGGAACCTAGAGTCAGAAAACAAGCTCATTAACTTTCCAGGGTATACTAGTCATAGTAGAAATGTGTTTCACTTTCTGTGCCCAATTTTGACACATCTAAGGAATGCATTCTGATCCTTGTAAACCTAAAATCAGATTCTAAAGTTTTGGGTTTGATGTTATGTGTTGTGGAATTTATCCAATATTATTTAATGAATATCAAAAAAGAAAAAATACTCCATCATTTTTCCTCAAGTGTAACTGATGTTTATTTATATACTCAGAAAACAGCACATGTGACTTAGTTGGATTCTAATTCAATCTGTAAAAAGACTTTTTTTTTTAGCCATTTGGGGATATTGAATAGGGACTAATGATTAGTAATGCATTAGGGTTTTCCAGAGGTATGTTTTTATATCTGATAGGTTAGATGCATAGAGAAATAAATCATTTTTTTAAGGAGAATTGGATCACATAATTATGGAGGCGAGCAAGTCCACATCCTAAGATTTTCAAGGTGCATGGCAAGCAAGAGGCCCAGGAGAACCAATGGTGCGTTTCCAGTCCTTGTTTGAAAGCAAGGGAACCAGGAGAGCTGACCATTTGGTTTCTAGCTGGAGGACAACCAGCTCAAATCCCAGGAACAGCCAATGCTTCCATTTGAGCATGAAGGCAGAAAAAAGCCGATGTTCAGGTGAAGGCCTTCAAAAAGGAGAATTCTTGCTTACTCTGGAGAGGATCAACTTTTTTGTTCTATTCAGACCTTCAGCAGATTGGATGAGGCCCACCCACATTGGGGAGAGCTATTTGCTTTACTCAGTCTGCTGATTTATATGTTGATCTCACCCAAAACCATCATCACAGAAACACTCAGAATAATGTCTGACCAAGTGTCTAGACACCCCATAGCCTGTTCAAGTTGACAAGTAAAATTAACCATCACAAGTAATGTTAGGTTACATCTAAATCTAAATAATATATTGTATTAACAAAATATAGTTATATACTTAGGAATGATGATCATAGTTTGGTTAGGCCAAAGAAGAAAGAAACCTTATCTTTTAGAGATGCATAATGTGTGAGATTTTCTTTAAAATGTTAAAAAAGGAAAAGGTATTGGTAATATTTGAAGATGTTAATGGAGGCATGGGGATTTATTATACTATTTTCTCACATTTGTGTATATTTTAAAATTCAATATTAAAAAGTTAAAAAGAGAGGGAAAGGCAGGAGGAGAGGGAGGGAGGAGAGTGAGCTATTGGCATCTCGCCGGCAGGCCGGTCCTACTGATAGGTCTTCTTCTTGTCTCTCACATCTCCTGCATGCAGGGCTGAGGCCTGGCAGGGCTTCACGTATGTGCCTCTCTGTATTTGAAAAATTTAAAGTGTTTTTTTTAAATTAAAAAAAAATTACCAAAATAATATATGCTACTCTTCAAAAGGAAGGGAAAAAAAACAGTAATTTTCTCTGATGTTATGGATTCCAAAAACCTTTGAATGAAAGAAGAAGTTGTGATTTCTTTAATCTGTAACTCAAAGTCTAAGGAAAATACAAAAAAACATTTTAACAGCATGGGTCAGTGAGGTCTCCAGCATCTAATACCATGAGAAAAAAGTTGAAAGGCTGATGGAATAGATAAACTTGATAGTATAACTAAGTTATAACTTAAATAACTTAATATTTTATTACTTGCATGTACCAGAATGTTTAGACCTTGTAAATACCATTGGAAACCTCTAGAGCTAATTTCAGAATTGATTTTTTTTCCCACTACTTCAGTCAGTCAAGGAAGTTATATTACTCCCCCTTTGGTATTGATGAGAAGAGGCTGAAGTACAGATGGGTCTAATTGTTTCAGATGCTACTCAAATCACTAGAATAGGCAGAGTGAATATATATACACACACACATACACACAAACATTTTTAAGCTATCTCTAAATAGGTTTCTTCAGTCCTTAGACAAACTCAATGTATGAAAGCCAAGTAAATCCTGGGATATATAAATATAGAACACTTAAATTATAGTGTTCTGCTTGATGGGATTTTTCATCTATTACTTATACAATTAAAATTAAGTTTAAAAATGTGATTTAGTGATCAGTGTCCAGGTCTATAAATGTTTGTCAACTCAGTTATGTTTATTAATCACAAAATCACAACCATTGCTTTCTAGCGATCGACCTTCACACCTTCACTCTCAGAGGTTTGTTCACGTCAGTGGTTTTCCATGACAGCATCTGACCCTCAAGGATTTTTAAGTTACCATAGCTTCTGGTTTCATCTATTCAGTGCAAAAGGTTTGCACGAAATAGATGAAAAAAGCATCAGCACCAGTGAATGAGCTTGTGTGAAGAGAGTGTATGATAAGTCCCAGCCATCATAGGTGTGACAAATGCCCTGCTCTTACGTATGAGGTGCTCACAGGTGAAGGAGTGACCACCCACACAGAGACCACGGTGCTGCCATCAAGCACTTAGCTTTTTACCTAAAAATATTTAATTGCAAAAGAAATGTATACCTAGGTTTTCTACATTTAAAAAGTCCATTTAGATTATCACCCCAACTCTGCCCCCTTTTCCACGTAACTGTGATCTGGCTGATACGTGTGCTATCGGACACTTTTCATTCGCCAGTGAATAATTATGCCAGGGAAAAAGATACAAAATTAATTAGGGAGGTTGTTTTTATATGTAATTTTCTTCTAGATATATTGTTCTTTCTTTTCTTTTTTCATTCAAAAATATATTTTCTACATCCTTCCAAGTCAGATTATATAAGGTTACCTCCTATCTAATTACTTTTTACTCCATGGTTTGAAGCACTTGGGTTTCTTAGTCATCCCTTTTTATGGACATTTTGCTTATTTCCTATTTTCTGCCACTGTAAACAATGCTGCAATTAACATTCTCACACCATAGTAATTGTTATTAAAAGCATAGAGCAATAATTGGTCTCTCTTGGCAATTGGAGGTGTCCCTGCTGTTGCATAAAGCAAATTCCACCCAGCTATCTAGTCACTTCTTAGATCTTTGTATCCAGGCTTCGCCAGATATCTCCCTATAACGATTAAAACACTAGCTTCCTGCTTGCACACCTCCTTCAAGCCCTACACAGCAGACACTCATTTCTCCTTTAAAATGTAAATACCAACGGATTGTGAGAGGCAAAGCTCAGAAGAAGGGTAAGTAGCATTTCCCAAATTGAAAAGGTGAGAAAGGTCATTTAAGGGAAAATAAACAAGAGATAACCTAGGTGAAAGGACCACCAGGGCATTTTTCTCAAGAACGAGCCTTGGTATTTGTGCCTGGAAGCCTCTGGAATTAAGAGGCTATCGTGTACCCCAAGTCGCTCCAATGCCACCCATGGGCATCGCCTGCTCAGTCAGTACAGAATCTATTAGCTCTAGGCTGGGATGAAGCGCAGAGGCATTCCAAGTGCAAGATCAGCCTGGAGTAGTCCCTCCATAAATGTTCCTCCCCAGACACCTCACTTGCCTCACAGCAGAACCGGCATGTGGTCATACAGTCAGAATTTGAATGGAATGGGGTCTAGGAAACAATCGTTTCTTGTCAGTCAAGCCAAACAAGCAAATCTTCCCACATCACCTTTCTGAGAGCTTAGCTGAAAGCATGCAGGTAAGCCTTCCTTTTCCTTGTCTTATATTTTTTAATGCCTCACTTTATAAATGGTGTTACTGGCTTTCACAGTCAGCTTATTACCCTGTATACAGAGCAGTGTTCTCAGGTTCACTCACTTCACCGTGATAGAAACATTCTAGCATCAGTTAATATTATGCCTGGTAGAAATGCTATTTTAAGAGGATGCCAAAATATTTATCAGCTTCACGGTGCAGAATGGTTGTGCAATTTTTGTTTCAGTTCTTGGCTAGGACTCAGAAATGCTAGTTGCAATAAGCACTGAAATGGTTGCAGAATGTCCCTCCAGGTGGCCGTGGCCACCCACCAGTCCTTTGTCTTTGGTCCATGGAACAGCGTGTGAGCCCAGTTTGTCCGTGTTCTCCGCTGTGAGCTCCCTGCCTCTGTTCACCCTCCGCCCTCACGCCTTCCATAAGCCCTTCCCTGGAACGCGAGGAGGCTGGTGCTGGGACCTCAGCTTGTTATCGGTGAAGAATGAAATATTATAATAGGGAATGTTTTGTTTGGTGAAAAACAGTTACTTTAGAATGAAACATATAAGGATTTGATTCCAGCCTCTGCCATTTACCATTCTTTAGCAAGTGACTTCCTTTCTTTGAGCCTCAGTTTCCTAACCTATAAAATGTTGCTCTTTGCTTTGGGGGTAAATATAATATGAAACATAAAACATAACAGCAAAATATCTAGCATACCTAACAAACAGTAGTCACTTTACAAAATGCACATACCATCATCACCAATAGTCATCAGCTAAGGGATCCTCTGGAATAAAGGAAAAAAGAGGGGAGAAGATTCTTTTTATTGTGTGTATATAGTCCAGACATTTATTTAATACCTAATAGCTACTGCAATACTGTGATCTAGGACATATTCAGTCTAAGCCTTTGTTGTCTCATCTGTGAAACAGACAATAACCTGCATTGGATTATAAAGTCACCGTTACATATCAAAACCCATGTCTGGCCCTCAATACCACTCAAAGAAGAGCC